CAACTTTACACATACAACATCTAAATCAATATACTTGCATCTTGATTCTTCAATTTAAGATCTAAGTACCTGCACCAATTAAAATAACCAAAATAAATTGAATAAAATGATTTAATTAAGCTGCGAAATTTTTTAAAAAAAAAATCCAGAAAATCGAAAAAAATAAAAAAGAAAAGCAGTTGAAAAGAAAAAAACACCCAGAACATCAGTCAAAAAGAAAATCGAAAAATAAAATATAAAAAAAAACCCAGAAAAAAAATCGAATAAAATAAAAATCAAAATCGAAATTCATAAAAAAAAACCCAGAAAATAAATAAAATTAAATTCGATTAAAAAAACCTAGAAAATAAATATAAAAAAAATTAAAATCTAGAAAATAAATTAAAAAAACCCAGAAAACAAAAAAATTTGAAATCGAAAAAAAATTGAAATCTGAAAAAAAAACCCAGAGATCGAAAAACAAAAATGAAATCGAAAATAAAATAAACCCAGAGATCCAAAATCAAAAATGAAAATCGAAAAAAAACCCAATTTGAAGAGAATTGAAATGGGAAAAAAAACTCAGGAAAAAAACCTAAAAATCACGAAAATAAAAACCCCAAAACCGCATGCATTAACCCAAATTAATTAATTATTTTAACAGAAAATTAACCCAGAAATCGAAATTGAAATCGAAAAACTAAATCAAAATCGAATAAAACACAATAAAAAAAGATATCGAAAAAAAAACCCAGAAATAGAAATTAAAAAAAATCAAAATCGAAGAAAAAATATTTAATTTGAATTATAAAAAACAAGAAATCGGAATAAACAATCAAAATCGAAATAATTGAAAATAAAAAAAAATTGAAATCGAAAAACCCAGAAATCGATTGAAATGGAAAACAAAAACAAGAAATCGATTGAAAAACCTCAAAATCAGTGTTGCATGTTGTTGTCTTCGATTTGTTGGTGGTTTTCGAGTGATGATAGAAAGGAGGAGGAGATCCAGAAAGATAAAGAATGAAGGATTGTTGGAGATCGGCGAAAGAGGAGGAGAGGAGAGAGAAAGAGGAGGAGGAAGAGAGAGAAAGAGGAGAGAAGAGGAGAAAGAACGACCGAATGAATTAGGGTTTGGGGATAGTTATAAGGGCGATTTTTTTTAATATTTAAATGAACCGGTTCGAAAAGGCACCGGTTAAAACCGGTGCTCTTTTTATTTTTGGCACCGGTTTGGGTTGAACCGGTGCCTTTTCTATTTGTGTAAAATTGCGCCCAATTTTGGGCCGGTTTAGGGCACCGGTTTGGCCTGAACCGGTGCCTTTATGCGGGTGCCTTATTGTATTTTTCTACTAGTGATGTTTTTGCTCGAGTCCTCATGACGAGTCTAATTAATCAGTTTGCCTAACGGTTTAATCAGTTTATAAATGACAGTAGTCATGTTTTTAATTAATTCTAAGCACATAGTCCCATGGTCTCACACAAGAGTCAAAGCATGTCACTCGCACTCACTATTAAAGAACACACCCAATATGTATGTCACACTTTGACCATGTCTAGAGAGTCTTGTATGCGCGTGTTTTCCGTCATTTTTTAGGGGGTAAGTCGGATATTAATCCTCTAATTAAACCATACTTGTTTGAAACCTTGTTTGAACCCTTACTTCATTCCCAAAATATTCATCCTATTTTTGCTTTTTTTAAAACCAATAAAGTCAAATTCAATTTAAGTCAAGTCATTAAAACAAATAAATGGTTTAATTTATCAAGAAAGGAAGGGCGATTAATCAAGGACAACACCTTCGTTCAAGTACTACTTTTTGACAAACCAATTAGTCGGAAATGAAAAGCTAAGAAGATAATGACAACTCAAGAAGAAGTCAACAAACTTAGGAAGGACGTGGCCAACATAACTGAATTGATGAAGGCTATGGCCCTTCAAATTAATGACCCTGTGAAGCAACAACAAATGAAGCTCATGCAAGAAAGCTTGAGCAAACTCTCCAATGACTATAGATTCTAGGGCATTAGCTCACAAGGGGTCTCAATGGACAAGGAGCTTCCTCCAAAGAAGTTCAATGCCAATGACATCCCTAGGTTCAAGGCAACAGACAATCCTTATTTCCATCTAAGGGCTTTCGAGACCATAATGAATATAAAGGAGATTGATAGGAAAGTCTTTCATTCACTATTTTCTCTATCTCTCAAAACTGTTTGTCAACAATGGTTCTTTTCTCTTGACAAAGAGAAAACCTCTACTTGGGATACTATTGTAAACACTTTCATTGATATATATATAAAAATGTAATATTCAAGTTGAAACCGATCATAGGGAGCTTGAGATACTTAAGAAAAATGAGAATGAAGGTTTCACTTCTTTATTTAATAAGTGGAGGGAAACTTCCGCTAAGATGATTGAGGTGCCTACTGAAAAAGAGTAAGTGAGATTGTTCATAAAGAATCTCTAGGAAAAGTATTCCAAACATCTTAAGTAGCAATGCAACTTGAATACTTTCAAGGCCGTTTATGACATTGGAATTAATATTGAAGACGACCTTGCGAAGCAAAAGGTTGTTAACAATAACTCCAACAGTGGCTGGAAAGGAAAGAAGAACGACAACCCTTCTTCTTCCAAAACCACCCACTCAAATAATGTTAGCACCTTTAATCTGAATTAAGTCCTTGCCATGAATAATCAAGGACAAAATAAACCATTTAGGAGAAACTTTTTTACTCCTATTGGTATAAGTTATGACACCGCATTTGACCGTCTTCATGCAAAAGGTCTTTAACTCCTATTGGACCATTTAGAGATCCACTAGTCGAAAGGAGAACAACTAATTGGAATCTCAATGCACACTGAAAATACCATCAAGGTAGGGGCCATCTTACTGAGAATTGCTAGAAGCTAAAGGAAGATATCCAAGACTTGATTGATAGCAATAAACTCCCAACGCCTCCTACAAGCAAGAAGCCAAGTATTAACAGTGCACCACTTTCTGACTCCTTGGCTATTTCTGATGAAGAAATTTATGTTGACCCCTCTTCTCTAATCAAACAAGTCCAAGAAACTCATGCCATTGAAGAAGAAGAGGAAATCTTTTTTGATGCTATGAGTGATTGGGCCCCAAATCAACAACAGGCCACTAGAGAAGACGTTTTGCTCTTCATAGAAACAATGGGGAAAACAATATACATGTGTAGAAAAGTTCTTGAATGCACAAAGTTAAAAAAAAGTAAGCATGTCAATAAAGAGGTGACACCTATAGAGACTACTAAAAATAAGCCATTTTCTCTTCAAATAATCAAAACACCCAAAAGGAGCAATAAATCTTATACTCCAATTGGGACCACATAGCAAATATGTCCAAAATGATCTCCAAGAGTGGCAAGATAAAACCTCTCAAAGCGAGACCATTTGAATTACTAAAGAGGACAGACAGATTTCGTTGTCCATATCATCAATCAGGGGGACACACTATAGAACATTGTTTTCAATTCAAGGATTTAATTCAAAAACTGATTGATAATAAAAAGTTAGTCCAAATTCTTCAAGAGAAAGATGCTACCATCAATGGAATTTAGGAAAGTGATGATGAGGAAGACATGGAGGAAACCCCACTCTCCACAATATATCCAGTGGACGATATTTGGGATGAAGAAGATTCACCCATAGATGTTCTCACAAGACCTAGGAGAATGCAACCTCCCATTACCGCACAACAACCTATTCTTACTACTCAACAAGTTCCCATATTATCTAGAAGACAATGATGTTTTCAAACAACTCAAAAAGACTAAGGTGGAGATGAATGTATGGAAACTACTAGCTACATCCCATCAACATAGGGTAGTAGAAATGGATGCTCAAGCTAAGATAGGAATAGATTTTAAAACCACTCCTAAGGGGTTGGCTAACTTCCTCATGAGTGATGTTCCTAGTCCCATCAATTTGATCTCCTTTTCTGACAAGGACCTACCTTCAAAGGGTGAAAAACACAACAAAGCCTTAAATCTCACAGTAATCTGCAAGAGAATGAATGTCCCAATGACTCTTGTAGATAATGGATCAGCAATTAATGTTTGTCCACTTTGAACTGCGAGAATGTTAGGAATAAGGGATGAAGACTTGTCCCCATCTACACAGGGAATAAGAGCCTATGACAATACTCGCTGCCAAGCCCTTGGAACAATCACCATGAATGTAACTGCAGGAGTCATAGAACATGCTACTACTTTTCAAGTGGTAGACATTAAAGCATCTTTCAACTTATTGTTGGGACGCCCTTGGCTTCATGACCTTAAGGTCGTTCCTTCATCCCTTCATCAACAAGTTAAGGCTATAGTTTGAGGAATTCCTATTACAATTGATGCTTCTCCAATGAGAATCAAGGCCAACGAGAATCCAATCATAAATGTAGAGCATGATGAAGATGACGAAGATTTGTGGGGCTTTTCACTAGTAGAAAAAGTGTTATTTGTAACTGGCGAAATTGACTTTTTATAACTGGCATTGTTGGTTGCGAATGCCACCGTTACAACTAGTGAAAATTATTCGTAACCGGCTCATGTTAGTTACAAATAATGTATTATTCGTAACTGACATAACCCAACGCCAGTTACAAAAAGTCTATTTTCCAGGTAAGAAATCACACTATTTGTAATGGCATTAAGTTACGTCGGTTACAATAAGGGTATATTCGTAACTAGCATAACCCAACGTCAGTTACAAAAAGTCTATTTTTCAAGTAAAACAGTACACTATTTGTAACTGGAATTAGGTTACGTCGGTTACAATAAGGGTATTATTAATAACTGGCAAATCATAACGCCGGTTACGAATATATTTTTTATTTTTAAAAAAAAAAATACTATTAGTAAGTAGCACTAGATTACGCCAGTTACTAATAAATATAATTTTTTTAAAATATTTGATTCGAATACAAAAATGGTAGTATATCCTACCAAATGACCCATCGTCAAATGAGTTATAACCTGTTACAATTCAACCAACAAAACATGTACTACGAATACTTCCATACAATACAAACACTCTAAATAGTTCCGCACAACTCGAATTATTCATCCATAACCATACAATACAAAAAAAATTAATTATACTGTAATTTCCAAAAAACAATTAAACTTGAATCAAAAAAGCATTGATTTATAATGTAGAAATGTAATAACAATAACCAATGGGCTAAATAAAATTAAAGTAGATATATAAAAATGTGTTATATCATTTTATTAAGCTAAATGCGATAAATCATAACATCGATTAATAAGATAACTAGTCTTTCAACAAAAAATTAAGCCTAAAAAACTTAGCCCATTGTTCTCGAATCTCATCCAATTCTACATCGTTGTAGGCTGCAAGTCTTGCCAAATACTCCTGAAAAAAAATACTTGTATATATATTATACTTTATAAAAATAAAACATCAACTAAAACTCGTAATATATCTCATCACTAACCTCTTTCAAATTACCCTTGCAATCGCTATGGAAAGATACTATCTCATACATATATCTCATCACATAATAAGCACATTCGGTACCACCACATTGTTGAGCACACTAATTCAAATGAACATAGTACAATTATTTAATATATTAAATAATACTTTCATTACTAATAGAACGAAAAGGCAAAAATTATACGCTTACCTCCTTTCTTATGTGTAGTAATTGTGGCTTACTCGTTTTGAAAGCATTTCCTTTAAGGTGTGACCTATATACATTGTAAGGTCTAAAAAAAAATTCATAAAAATCATTAGATTAAACGAATGAAAAATAAATTTTAATCACATGCATATTAATACGTAGTATTACGAATGTTGTGTACTAACATCTTCATTACTTTGGACAACTCTGAGTTTCGAGCGTTCGGAGGTGATTGAATAACAGAATCAAACTCATACACAAGACTCATACACAAATCAATCACATAGAGTACCCAATGATTCCTACATTTTAATAAACTTGTTCGTATTATTCACATAATTAAAATAATAAAATTATGTAAAAGTAAAGATTTTAAGGATCAGTAGTACATACGCTTCCATATATGGAGCCAAAATGAATTTGCATTGTGCATCCTTTTTCCTTAATTCAGTAAGAAAAGCATTTTTCAAATACATTTTGACTTCAAGGAAATCTTTCTTGATTTCAGCTGCAGAAATTTTTTGGGGGCACAAGAATTTGATTTTAGTTTTCTGAAATAATGAGATATGCTCTTCAATTAAGTACCTGCATTTTATAGAAAAAATAAATAATTAGTATAATAAATGGATCTAATGAAATATATTTCATAGTAAAACAAATTCAAATAACTTAAATGAATGTTAGTATTTACAATATGTAGACATGGATTAATGAAATATTAGCCCATGCTCCTCGTAGTAATTCAGAGACATCATCACTAGTAACATAAATTTGTGTGTCTTCCTTTTGATAAAACAATGGAGCCTTCAATGGAATTGTCGTAGTATCATAATCTCCACTTCCTGAAGTCATGCAATAATACAACATAGAACACTGTTCACCAAGACTCTCAACAATATTTTCCAGAATAGTTATGCCTTTGCCTTTAATAGTTGAATGCTCTGAGTTGATAGGTCCGCAACTATCAACTTTCTCTTTGGTTTGCACCAATTAATTATCCGTCTTTTTTGCCAAAGTCATAACCTTCAAGAAAAGATAAATATTAATATAATTTAGTTACAAATATCTTAGATCATTACATAGCATATCAATGAATTACCTCGTCAGTAAAGAAGACTAAATCTGCCGGCCACCCCAAAAAATAACCTTTCGCCTCACCCAACGTGGTGATACCGTCATCAGTCTCTTCTGGGAGATTTAGGTGAGAATAATCACTGTAAACATGGTCAACACTAACTCTATAAATGTCACAATTCATTTTTTTGTTATGAATCACTCCACTAGGACAAGGTTCTGCCGTTCCATCGGCCACAATCACTGAGTTCCCACTGAACTCATCAACTAAAGCAAGACGACATTTAGTTGGGACCTACATAATTGATCACGTCGTAAGAAACATGAAAGCATAATCTATAGTTAACAACTAATAAGTATGAGAAATAAAAGCAGGTAAGATTCTTTGTACAAAAACTGATGTTTTGTTAAATTGACCTCTGGCAAATGGGTTTTGGGAGGAACATATGGGTCAGGCGGGGGGGAAGGGGGCAGGGGTACTTAATGGACAACCTCCGCAAAATTCACAGTATGATGTATTTGCAGCATATATATATATCACAAAGCAAGAGGAACTTTGAACTAAGGAAAAAAAGAATCTAAGCTGGCTAATATCATGCCAAACTTAAAATACCCTCATCATGAAATGGCAAACCAGCATGAATACACCAAGGGTCAATTGTGATAAGCAACAATGAGCATCTGTGAGAAGCAACAATGAGCAACAATGACAAGCTCATGTCACAATTGTTGCTAATATATCTCAGGTTTTAATGTTAAATCATCAGAAGAATACACCAAACCTACTCCATGTTGATATGGTCTATCTGAGAATCTGACAGCTCTTGAATGTGCCTTTTAATTATATGAGAGCAGTATCTTGCATGATATATGATCTTCCAACACCTGACAAGAATCCAAACACACTTTCACACCTCATGTGCATAATATATCCTTGTCATTCTTCTTGGTTCCAGATAATAATATTTCTCTGGGATTTACATTGAAATTACTCATAAATAACAAACATTAGCACCCTAATTAAATCCATTGGACCCTGTTCCACCTCCAATCTGATAGACTCCAAACACTCTGTCACACCTCATATGTTTAATTTATCAAAGTCATCCTTCTTGGTTCAAATTAATAATAAAACTCAGGAATTAAGTTGAAATTACTCGTAACATTAACATACACTAGCACCCTAATCCAATCTACTGGACCTGCTACAATCTCCAACTCTCCATTTATGAATATGAAACTGAGAATGCTTTTGCTACACTTTTACTCTCAAAACCACTCTTTGTCTTATCAAAATTTAACAAAGTTTTTTCTAACCCAAACTCACAAAGCTGCTGACTCATACATCTCCGGATAAGAGGACTTTTTGAAGCATATTAGCAACAATGCGCAAAACAGAGACAGCAAGGGTCAATTGTGAGTCGCAAACCTGAGACATATACATCAAATAGCAAGAAAAAGAATACCACTCCAACAGTAAATTCTGCAAACAATACCAACCAACTCCACAATCTTAAAATTAAGAAGACTAAACAATGCTGAACAAACTATCCATCTTAACTCAGTTCTGAATTCAGTTCTGAAAGTCAGCTCTGAATTGCGTTCTGATTTTCAGTTCTGAATTCAATTCTGAATTTCAACTCTGAAATCAGTTTTGAATTTCAGCACTAAAATCAGTTCTGAGTTTCAGCTCTGAAATCAGTTCTGAATTTCAGCTCTGAAATCAGTTCTGAGTTTCAGCTCTGAAATCAGTTCTGAGTTTCAGCTCTGAAATCAGTTGTGAATTTCAGCACTGAAATCAGTTCTGAGTTTCATATCTGAAATCAGTTCTGAATTTCAGCTCTGAAATCAGTTTTGAATTTCAGAACTGAAATCAGTTCTGAGTTTCAGCACTGAAATCAGTTCTGAATTTCAGCTCTGAAATCAGTTCTGATTTTCAATTCTAAATTCAATTCTGATTTTCATATCTGAATTCAGGACTGATTTTCAACTCTGAATTCAGGTCTGAGTTTAAGCTCTGAATTCAGGTTTGATTTTAAGCTCTGAATTCAGGTCTGATTTTCAGTTCTGAATTCAGGTCTGATTTTCAGTTCTGAATTCAGGTCTGATTTTCAGTTCTGAATTCAGGTCTGATTTTAAGCTCTGAATTCAGGTCTGATTTTCAGTTCTGAATTCAATCCTGGAAGTCGGCTCTAAATTCAGTTCTGATTTTCAGTTCTAAATTCAGTTTTGAAATTCGGCTTTGAATTCAGTTCAGTTTTGATTATCAATTCTGCATTCAGTTCTGAAATTCGACTTTGAATTCAGTTTTGATTATCAATTCTGTATTCATCTCATGTGATGATAATTAAGAGTTCAATCTTTATCAAATGAAGGTTTACCTCTAACAAGCGAGGACTTAGCTCTGTTGGATTGATTGAGGAAGATGGGGAAGGTTGAGCATCATTTACTTGCAAATCATTAGCAGTTATGTGTGGTATGAAATCAGAAAGATAAGAATTTACAGCTGCTGCAATGCCTTCCTTTAATTTTTCTTCAAATTCCCGAGTTAAGTTCTCTTTAAATTCATCTAGTTCTTGTAATGAGCAACCACTTTTAGACATGTTTTTACCTTTTACCGGGCCAAATGCTTTTCTATAGCCGACACCAATCCCACATCCACCAAGTCCTTTCACAAATCCACGATGGTCCTTTTTCCCAAATGCCAAAGTAAGGGCATCAACGCCTCGCTCTGATTGTTTACACTCTCCTTCCTCAGATTCCTTTGCTTGTTTTTGCAAGTTCTCTTCATGTTTGAAAAAACATAGAAAAAGTTAATTAGATGACCAGAAATCTGTAATGCCAGTAGATTTCTTTGTTTTGATAAACTATGACATACAACTATATTGGCAATTCGAATAGTCTCCGTATCTTTTGGGTCGATGCCCCATGTTCCATCTGGCAACCGCTTTTCATGAGCTAAAACCCACTCAAGAGCTCGACGATCAAAAATAGAACCAGTTGATGTACTGCTCTGGGAAGTGTTGCCAGTAGTTGAAGATTCTACCAGAGCAGGAAATCTATTTTCAAGTCTCTTTTGCTTATTCCAAATTATCCGAGCTCTTTGAAAACTGTTTCGACCCAAGTGATGGCGACATTTGTTTAGCTTTGCATTTTCCTTCCCCTTTTCACTCTTTTCCTGTTTTTTTGTTTTTAAAAAAAAAAAAAAGAAAAGAGAGTTAAACATTATCATATTCTTCACAATCAGTTTTTGTTTGATTAATTAACAGTGCATGTGAATATGTAGTTACCTTGAATTCTGCTAATTTACTATATATTTCGAACCTCTTCCATTTCTCCTCTGTAAAGTAACCTTCATACACTTCCCATGGCTTCATATTTGCTTTAGGAGAAGTGGCCGGGTATGGGTTTTTAAAAGTGATGAATCGTTCCCTTAAATTCGACTTGTGACAGCTGAATCGCGAAGCCACAGCACTATGAAACCTTTTTTGCCTTTCTCCACTTGGATCCTCAATGTGGAACATTCGCTGTGGATTAAAAAAAAAAAAGTTAACTAATATTTTGAATAGCAACATGACTAACTAGCAAGTGAATAGTTTATACCTTTGTCTCCTCCCATATATTTTCCCGATCCACTTTATCTATTTTTGCATACTCATTCACAGTGATGTCTAATCTCTTAGCACATGCACCAATTTGTTTTCCATAAACGGGTTCCCATTCACCAGTAGGCAAGTCATAATCATTGAATTCAAGCACCATAGGCTTACTTGATTGTATTGCCTTTGATGGCCCCCTACTCCTCTTCTTAGATGATGTGGCTTGCAAAGCAACATCTTGGCTTGAGGAAGTTTGCTCTTGACTTTGTTGAATGACCATATTTATGCTCCTTGATCTAGAAGTGCCTGCATAAAACAAAATACAAAAACTGATAGAATTAAATATCACATGAACAGAGCTATATTTTTACAGATTATAAAAGGTTTCTATCTACAAGTAAGTAACAAAGAAAGCAAATATAAATAATAAAAGCAACCTGCAGAGACATTATTTTTCAATTCCTGAAGTTATAATACCAATAAAAACAGTCAAGCTTGTGCCGCATATATAAGAACTATGTAAAATTCCATTTCATATGTCAAAGCTCAAAAGACTAAAATCCAAGTGAAACTAGAGGTTTTATAGTCATCTAACATTATTGTCTAGCATTATAGTTACAAATTAATCGAAGAATTAAAAAGAACTACAGATTGATAAAAAATGAAGCCTAGGTATCAACATATTCTCCCTCCTCATGGGCATACTCTCATCAGCGACAATGTCTTCCCCCTCTCTTAGGGGTTGAACCCCAATAGATAGAGGCGGTGTATCATCAAATAGGTCATACTCTTCCTCATCGACAGCATTTTAGACACCAACAATTCTTCTCTTGCCTTGAACAACAACCTGCCAGTTATGATCAATGTTATCCCTTATATAGAAAATTTGTTTTGCTTGTGAAGCTAAAACAAAGGGCTCCTCCCCATCAACAAATCGACTTGAATCCACTAAAGTAAAACCAAATAGTTCATCTATCTTTTTGCCTCGCCGGTTGTCAGCCCACCTGCATCGGAAAACGGGAACTACAAAATCAACATAATTCAGCTCCCATATCTCTTGAATGACCCCATAATATGACTGTGTTGCATTAATAGGCCTAGCATCCTTAGAGCTTGAGTATTCCGTAGGAAGATGCGACAACCATAACACCACTATTTTGATGTACACTCTTACCATCTTGGCGACTAGTGTAGAAACAATACCCATTGATGTCATAGCCTTCATAAGTGTTCACAAACAATTGAGGACCCCGTGAAAGTCATCTGATCGTATCAGATACATTATTATTCGGTTGCCCTAACTCACACTTCACTTGGTTTTGAAACCATTCAACAAAAGAATTATTATGTTTTTGCATCAAAGCATATGTACCTATTCTTGGATTCATTCTTTTCAAAAATTGAGATGAGTTTCTATATAAAGATGGACTTCTGAAAGGTTTTGAAGAACATAACGATGAGCTTTCTGGATTCTATCTGATGGAGGCTTCACAAACTGACGACCGATCGTCCCTTGCCCTTGAAGTCTGCCTTCATGACGAGATGTTGGAACTCCAATTTCTTTAGCCTTAGTTAAGAACACAGAATAAAAGTTATTAGCCTCCCCTGCAATAATACCTCCAACAATACTACCTTCTGGATGTGCTTTGTTGGTCGCCTTTTCTTTCAAAGTTCCCATGTGTCTCTCATAAGGGTGCATCCATCTCAAAAAACCGGGCCACATTCCTTAATTTCTCGTACTAGATGGACAACCAAATGAACCATTATGTCAAAAAATGAAGGAGGAAAATACATCTCAAATTTGCATAATGTTTCTACAACACCAGTTTGCATTTCATCAAGTTTATCTAGATCAATCACCTTGTTACATATGGCATTAAAAAATAGGCAAAGTTTAACAATAGTGTGCCTAACATGTTTTGGCAAAAGACCTCGAAGTGCAATAGGCAACATCACTTGCATCATGACATGGCAATCATGGGATTTCATACCAATTACTCTCTTATCGGCCAATGAAACTAGACGCTTAATGTTCGACGAATACCTTGTAGGTACTTTGATGCCGTACAAACACTCACAAAATATTTTTTTCTCCTCTCTAGACAATGTGTAGCAAGCTCGAGGCAAAAATGTCTTTTTTGTTTCGTCATTTTCCACGGGCCATAACTTTGGTCGAATATTTGCAAGCTTCATGTCTTTCCGGACATCTTTAGTATCCTTTCTTGTTAGGTATATTTAATAATGTCCCGATGATTGAATCACATACATTTTTTTCAATATGCATAACATCAAGACAATGTCTAACAGACAAGTGTATCCAATAAGGAAGAGTCCAAAATGTAGACACCTTTTTCCAAAGACCCGTAATAGAGGTAGGTTTACCAACTTTCCAGAAAATTGTCTCAACATCTTTGATTCTCTCCCACAACTCTATACCACTAAGTGGCTCACGCAACCACTGTTTCTCTGGGAACCCATTGAATTCAGCTTTTTTCTTACGATAAGGGTGATCTCGACGAAGCAGTCGTCTAGTATGCATATAAACATCCTTTCCAAAATTCTTGAGGCGTGTTGGTTCCATTTTGTCCTCACGAATGGGGCATGGTTTTTTCCCTCTGACTTTGTACCAAGACAAGTTCCCATAAGCCGGGAAATCACTTACAGTGCAAAAAATCATGGTCCGCAAAGTAAAATTTGTACTTGTATGGGCATCGAACATTGGAACACCTTTATCCCATAACAATCTCAAATCCTCCAAGAGAGGCTCCAAGTAGACATCTATGTCATTACCGGGTTGTTTGGGACCCGATATTAGAAGCGACAACATGATGTACTTACGTTTCATGCATAGCCAAGGAGGCAAGTTATAAATCGACAAAAGCACCGGCCATGTGCTGTGTTGAGAGCTAAGGGTACCGTAAGGATTCATCCCGTCGGTACTTAATGCAAGTCTCAGGTTCCTAGCCTCTTTACCAAACTCCGGAAATGTATCATCAATATGTTTCCATTGCTTCGAATCAGCGGGATGCCTAATGTACCCATCTTTCTTCCTCTCTTGTGCATGCCACACCAAGTTTTTTGCATCCTTCTTGATAGAAAAAAGTCGTTTAAACCTCGGTATTATAGGCAGATACCATAACACCTTAGCTGGTGGCCACTTCTTGCGATTGGGGTTTGAACCCTCGCGCTTGTAGCGATCAACACCGCACTTTGGACAAGCATCAAGGTTTTCATACTCATTTCGAAAAAGTACACAATCATTAGGACATGCATCGATCTTCGTGTACTCAAGACCTAAGGGACACAATAGCTTCTTTGCATAGTAGGTAGACTTAGGAATGTCATTCCCTTCAGGAAGCATGTCTGATAAAGCTTCTAACAACGAATTGAAACTTGTATCGGTCCAACCGTTCTTTGCTTTCAAGTTAAATAATGTTAAAACCCCTGAAAGCTTAGAGTACTTTGCACATCCAGGATATAAAGGTGTCTCGGCGGCCTTTGACACATTTTCAAACATACGAGATTCTTCGTTCACATGATCACCCAAACCATCCATCATCTCAGGAATGTGATCCTCCTCGAAAAAATCATCGGTATCCCTTTCATTATCATCATATTGTTCTCTATTCTCCATATCAGCGTCATTGATTGATGACCTACTAGTTGTAGGAATTATTTTCTCACCGTGCCAATACCAAATGGTATAATTTGCCATGAACCCACGGCGAAATAAATGGTTTTCAACCACACTAATTTCCTTCCACTTCTTCACATTGTTGCAATCACGACAAGGGCAAAAGATTGTTTCTCCTTTAGTAGTCCTCTGGTGTTCAATAGCAGTTCTACAAAATTCCTCAATCCCGTTCAAGAACTCGGGTTGAGTTCGATTTTCAACATACATCCAATCACGATTCATTTCTTACTACAAATTATAGAAAAAGCAAGCATATAACTATTAGAACAAGTACATTAGAAACAAACAAAGACTATTACAATAGAACAGCAACCAGAGATTATCAATCAACTCCCACAAGATAAAATACCTCAAAAAATAGTCACACTCACAGGTATGAACAAAATGCAAGAACACTTCATATATGCCTACCAGGCTACCACTAATTCATTTTCTCTCTATAATTATAGTTCGGTTAAATCAATTCAACCAATTGGAATAACCGAATAAAATTGGTGTGTTAACTCATTTTCAGCTTTGAATTTCAACCCGAATCATTTTAGTACTGATTATTAGTTTAGAATTTCAGCTCTGAAATCAGTTCTGAATTTGAGCTCTGAATAAGCTTTATTTAGTGCAAAATAGTGCATGCCGGCAGATGTTCTGCTTAACAAACAATGCTAATTGTTAACTTCAATTCCTTAAGATGAAAGAGGTATATAACAGATGCTCAAAATGGAAAACAGTGCATGCCGGCAGGGAATATTCCATAATATGTCCAAATATCCAATCACCACAACAAAGGCACACGGTGTTTCGTTTACATTTCAGTTAGTGCAGGCATCTAGTAGCAACTAAGCCTAATGCATAAGTACAACACAAATGACTGCAAACCCACATAGTAAAGTGTAAAACTGTAAATACTATAAGAACCCAAATCAGTAATCTCTATAAGAAATGCCTATCCACCTAAGAATATGTATAAATTTGATAGGTTGTGGGAAATCTCACTGATCAAACTTAACTATGGATCATAGACACAAACATTTGTGGATTCACCAAAAAAAAAAGAAGCAAAGAAATACTCATGAATGCATATTACAATTCCATTTTTGTAGCTATCCAAGTTGTGGATTTGAACTTAAATGTTGAAGTATTAGCGATTTGGTCAAGTACTATCTCGTCACTCAAAACTCAAAAGGATCCAAAACTTTGATTTTAGTTCTGATTTTCAGTCTTGAATTTCAGTTTTGATTCAGTTCTGATTTTCAGTTCTGAACTTCAGATATGAAATTCAGCTCTGAAATCAGTTTTGAATTTCAGCACTGAAATCAGTTCTGAATTTCAGCTCTGAAATCAGTTTTGAATTTCAGCACTGAAATCAGTTCTGAGTTTCAGCTCCGAAATCAGTTCTGAATTTCAGCTCTAAAATCAGTTCTGATGTTAAAGTGTGATAGCCTGAACAGTGGCGGCGAATGTTGACCTGTCAAGCCGGAAATCTCCAACCTTGCTCCCTCTCCTTATGGTTTTAGACTGGAAAAACAGACATTAATAAACACACACAAGTTAAGAGCATATATTTCTTCTTAGAATCATTATTAGACACTAAAGTGCAGGAGTACAACCATAAGGATATAACATCCAACACGACAAATAACAAATTTTGATCTAAAACCTACAGAAATTTCACTTAGAAATGCCAAATCCAAACCTATGGACGTTTAATTAAATTGAAGGACAAAGGACTCTAACAACTTAATTAACACATTTTCAAATTGATTGGCTACTGTTTAATGATGAAAACAGATTACAAACCAATGAATCAGGTCAGTAAGTTCAAGTAGTAAGATTAAATCAGATGATGATCAATCATCAAAAGTTCGAAATGATCATTAATTCGTAATAACGATGAAAAGATGTCATCAATCTGATCTGAAAACACCAGAAATTGACAAATTACAGCCCCTAACATCAATCAAATGAGCAGCCTAATTCTTCAATTAGGTCAAAATAATCTTAAAACATATCAAAAATTGAGAATTCACACTATTTTCTTACATAATGAAAGCGCTACATTCTTCCTAAGTCTATAGGGCTGTAGGACTTTATAGTCAAGCATAACAAATTTATATACTAGAAGTCTTAACATCACATGGTCATGAACAATTTCTGGAACAATCAGTAGCACAGGGCACAAACAAAGCACAAGCAGAACCGCCACATGACAGCAGCAACTAAACGAAGCATAATACATAATTTTCATGGAATCAAACAAACCAACCAAAAAGACCTGACATACTCGGCTAGTGTAACCCAATTAGACATGCATGTACCCCAATTACACAAAGCAGTTCATAAACAATAATCGTTTCTTAATTTTTTTTGTTCGAAATTATTCATCAAAACTTAATTTCCTTGGTTTTTTTTAATATTCTAATTTCATTAAAAATTAATCAAGTAATTGAAAACAACAACAGTCAATTCGAATTTACATGTAAAAACACTAATTCGAAAGTAAAATAACCCTAATTCAAAAGGAACACATACCTCAAACTTTGATAAAAATCCCCTAAAGCTGATCCCAAATTCGAACAAACCAAAACAACAATTAATGGAGTGAGATGCAGCGACAGAGAAGGAAGAGAGGTGATGGAGAGGGAGGAGCGCGCAGTGAAGGGGTGAAGGAGGAGCAGTCGTGAAGGTGGAGCGAAAGTGTTAGTTTTTTTGATTTTTGAGAATTCTGAGTATGTAATACCTACCTTAATTTATTTATTTATTTTTTTTTTACCTTTAATCAAAATTTAAATAAAAATTATTTTTCAAAAAAAAAAAAATTTAATGAAAAATTAATAAAATTAAGAGAAAGTATAAAACTAGAAACTTTCCTTAAAAAAAAAAAAAAAAAAAAGTAAACTAGAAACTTAATATTTGTTGGTTTAAAAAAAACAAAAGTTATTGTTAGACTTATTATTTATAACCAGCGTTTGTAAATTAGTTAAATTTTTTTACTTTGACTTATTATTTGTAACTGGCGTTTGTAAGCTAGTTACAAATGTTTTGGTCAACCTTTCTTTGACTTGTTATTTGTAACTGGCGTTTATAAGCTAGTTACAAATGTTTTGGTCAACTTTTTTTGACTTAATATTTGTAATTGGCGTTTATAAGCTAGTTACAAACGCTTTGGTCAAACTTTCTTTGACTAAGTATTTGTAACTGGTGTTTGTAAGCTAGTTACAAGTTTTTTAGTCAAATTTTTTGTGACTGAACATTTGTAACTGACATTTATTTAGTCAGTTACTAATAAAACTTCAAATAAAGATACTCCACATATTAGTAATTGACATTTACTATGTTGGCTATTAATGTCATGGAATTTGTAACTGGCATTATCTTAGTCGGTTACTACTGATACTTCTGTAACTAGCATAATATACGCCAGTTACTATTAGGGCGTTACAAATAGCATTTTTTCTACTAGTGTTTAACAAAGAGGTATCCTTAATCGAGGAGGATGAAAGGACCCCTCTTCACTGCGACCTCCACTCTAACATGACAGTAAATGTTATCCTCAGAAAACAGGGACACTTTCGTGGAATGACTCTTGGAAAGAAGAAAGGGATAGCAAAGCAAATGAGACTACCTGGCCTCCCTAAATTGGACACTTTTGGACTTGGTTTTGAATCGACACTAAAAGGTCGTAAGCGAGTCCGGGAAAAAGCCAACGCACGTAGGAATGCTCGTACCCAAAAGAAAGCAATCCCAATGGATTATTATCCTCTCACCCTCAATTGGCAATTCATGAGAGAGGGAGAGGATTATCCACGTCATGAATTTCCTGAACCCTTTGTCAAGAATAGGATAAGACAACATGGGTTTAAAATCTCCTTGGATTGCAACTTTTTAGATGATATCCCAACTCTTATCCATAAGAATAAAGCACCTCCATGCTTTGACTTTAATGTCATGGGACATCTCTTTGGGAACGAGAAGAATGAGCCAACATATATTGAAGATAATTCCTTGCTCATTCAAACGGTACTACAAAGTGATAATTTGATCATTCTAAGCTTATCACTCCAGCAGATGGATTAGTTCAAGGATGGCGTAAGACCGTGAAGGTGACTATTTCAAATGGAAGAAAGATCTCTATAACAACTGGACAAGGATCAATGTTTGAAGAATCGTTTAAGTCAGAGTCCAAGTCAGATTCTTCCCCTATCGAGTCTTCTAAATCTCTAGTTATAGCACCTTCCCCTAATTCTTCTATTTTAGCACCTTCTCCTAAAATAGTTAGTAGTCAAGCCCCAATGGACATATCTCTATTTGATGTAATGGTTTCTGAGTTTAAAAATATGTCTTCATTTGCTTACTTCTCGTGTCACTCTTTAACCCAGCATGACGAGCATTGCTTAACTAACAATGAAAATGACAAATAAATAATTAAAGCAATGGAAAAACTAGAAAATAAAACGCCGGTAATTGAACACACTGAAACAATTGATATCTTAAAAGATCCAACCATTAAAAGAGAAGTTAAAATCATACTAACACTTAATAAAGATGAAAGAACCGATTTAATTAATCTACTAAAAGATTTTATTGATGTATTCGCTTGGTCATATGAAGATATGCCAGAAATAAATAGAGAAATAGGTCAACACAAAATACCACTAATTCCAAGAATGAAACTTGTAAAACAAAAGTTACGTTAAGTGAAGCCCGACGTAGCTCTTAAACTAAAAGAAGTACAAAAACAGATAACTGCAGGTTTTATCAGGGTATCCAAATACCCAAAATGGATTGCAAATGTGGTCCCAGTTCCAAGAAGGATGGAAGAGTAAGAATGTGTGTCGACTATCGAGATCTAAATAAGGCAAGTCCAAAGGACGACTTCCCTTTACCACACATTGATATTCTAGTAGATAATACATCGAATCACGCACTTCTCTCGTTTTTGGACGGATACGCGGGGTATATCTAGATTCTCATGGAAGAAGAATACATGGAGAAGACAACATTTATAACACCTTGGGGCACTTACTGTTACACGGTGATGCCATTCGGGTTGAAAAACGCGGGTGCCACTTACCAACGAGCAGCAACTGCTTTACTCCATGACATGATGCACAAGGAAGTCAAAGTCTATGTAGATGACATGATTGTGATATCTAAGGATCGCCTAGGGCATTTGGTAGCTCTAAGAAAATTCTTTGAAAAGCTAAGAAAATACAACATGAGGCTGAACCTATCTAAGTGTGCTTTTGGATTCACCTCATGAAAACTCTTGGGATATGTCATCAGCTCTAGAGGAATAGAGATACACCCAACCAAGATCAAGGCAATCATGTTAATGACACCGCCCAAAACCGAAAAGTAAATTCGGGGATTCATTGGCCGGTTGCAATACATAAGTAGGTTCATATCCAAATTAACAACAATATGTGAACCAATATTCAAGAAGCTCAAGAAGAATGTGCCAATAATATGAGACGAAGAGTGCCAAAAAGCCTTTGAAAAGATTAAAGCCTATCTCGCTAATCCTCCTGTATTAGCACCAGCACTCCCAGGAGTACCTCTTAGGTTGTACCTAACATTCACCAAAGAGACAATGGGGGCTATGCTCACACAAGAAGTAGAAGGAAAAGAGAATTCCATCTACTATCTAAGTAAAAAGATGCTCGAGTATGAAATACGCTATACACCACTTGAGAAATTGTGCCACTTGAGTAAGAAATTACATGCTCGTTTACACAATCTTTGTAGTATCTCGGATGGATCCACTTAAGTATCTTTTCGAAAAATCTACGCTAATTGGGTGAATATCAAGATGGGTAGTCAACTTATCCCAATTTGATGTAAGATTCATGCCCCAAAAGTCTATTAAAGGACCCGTGGTCTCAGACTTCTTAGCGGACTTCCCAATAAAAGATTCGACACTAATACATGAGAATGACTTTCCAGATAAGGACTTGATGGTCACAGAAGATGATACTTGGACTCTATACTTTGACAGAGCCTCAAACCAAAAGGGATGTGGTGTAGGGGTATTATTGATATCACCTAAAGAAGAACATATTTCAATCTCCATAAAGCTAGATTTCGACGTTACCAACAACGCTGCAGAATATGAAGCTTGGCAAGACTAGCCTCAATGGTTAGAATTCCTACAGAAATTGAGTAAATGCCTTTAAAGATAGAAAAAAGGCATAAACTGGTTTATATGTTCAAGCTATAGAGGATGATGAAGTGGCCCAAGAAGAAGAAGAAGAAGAACCTTGGTATACGGACATCCTCAACTATGTCACCAAAGGAGAATACCCATTCCATGCTGACAAAAGAGCAAAACGAGCCTTAAGACTTTTGGCTTCTCAATATGTGCTCATAAACGACGAGTTACTTAAAATGGTACCTAAAGGTCAAGCTCTTCTATGTGTAAGCAAAAAGGAAGCCCAAAGGGCTATGAGAATAGTCCATGAAGGAGTATGTGGAACACATGTAAATGGCAAAATGCTAGTTCAAAAGATAATGTGCAAAGGGTATTTTTGGACTACCATGAATAGAGACTGTCATCAACATGTCAAAAGATGCCCTAAATGCCAAATATACGCTGACTTACAACATGTTCCTCCATCTCACCTCTACACCTATACATCACCATGGCCATTCTCAACATGGGGAATAGATATTATTGGATTTATTACTCCTCCCGGAACAGGAGGTCGTGAATGCATCTTAGTAGCAACTAACTACTTCACTAAATGGGTTGAAGCAACATCATATGCAAAACTCACTGCAAAGCATGTAACACTCTTTATCGAAAGAAACATTATTTGTCGATATGGAGTCCCACGTGAAATGATAAGTGATAATGGAACTCACTTTCAAGCAGATGTGAAGAATTTCTACAAAAGTATGACATTAAACATCATCACTCTTCTCCATACAGACCTCAGGAAAATGGTGCAGTTGAGGCAACTAAACAAAATTTAAAGACTTTCATTGAGAAGATGACAGAAAATTACAAGGATTGGCCTAACAAACTCCACTTTGCTATGTGGGGTTATCGCACGTCAATTCGCTCGTCAATAGGAAATACGCCATTTTCCTTAGTATATGGAATGGATGTCGTACAACCTGTAGAGACAAAAATACCTTCCCTACGCATCGCGTTGGAAAGTAAACTCGATGAAGTTGAATGGACCAAAGCAAGATATGAAAAGCTAATTCTACTCGATGAAAAGCGACTAGAGGCTCTACATCATACTCAATGCTATCAAACTCGTATGGCTAGACACTTTAACAAGAAAGTCAAGACAAGAAACATCAAAGTAGGAGACTTGGTGTTAAAAGCATTAAGGAAAAATGTTTTTGATTTAAGAGGCAAGTTCAGGCCTAATTGGTCTGGACCATATATTGTCAAAACTATCCTATCAGGAGGTGCTGCAAAACTAACTGATATGGATGGCAATGAGTTCTCAAACATGATAAATCTTGACCAACTTAAGAAGTACTACCCATAATTACTTAAGTAGGATACTTAAGAGAGCTACGTTTGGCCTGATTCCTTAGGAAAGGATACGTAGGCAACCCTTATAGGGTGCGGCCACTTTAATTTTTACAAATCTCGCATCCCATCATCGACAAGTCAACTCAGGACAATCGGCGTAAAAAATTCAAGACCAATGCATCACAGAAAATCTGTTATCCTACGACCGATATCAGCGTCGGCCGACAAACTGTAGCGTCTGGAGACAGTATGTAGTGCTAGGCGACAAACAATAGCGTCTGGCGACATACATAAAATTGCAG